AGAGTTTGTCTCACACACAGCCTTCACCGGCTGCCCATGGAAGTCTTCCATCTTTGCATAGCTATATCGACACCCTGCCTTTGCAGTGCATCCCTCAAAGAACCCAAAGAGAGAACTGTTGTTAAGGGTATTGGGAACGATACTTCTGTGAGGGGCAAACTACAGTTCCCATTATTCTTTTGGGGGAGGTAGGGGGAGGAATGTTGTTTAAATATATGGTGTGTGTGTACAGCTGTAGTTAGCATATACATATTTCATGCACATTTCTGTACTGTCCCACATAGTAAGCAAGCTGCCTCAACCTGTACACACGAAACAGTACTTGCAGACGCCTTTGGGGGTTTTAATATCTCTCAGCAGCCCATCAAAACAGTCTGAGAATTACTGCCTTGGGCATTGCCACTGTTCCAAAATAAAGGTGGCACCTTATCTGCCCTTCCTAGTACTTGTCATCCAAAAGGAAAACACGCACACACTAATTCAGCCTTCAGTTTGTTGTTTTTTATATCCAGTTGGTTTCTTTTCCCTTCCTCTTCCTTTGTGCATATGTTCTGGATGAGGCCTCAAGGTTTTAAAATCTTTTTCCTGGAAGCCAAGTGTCTTGTTTGCCTCTGTGGTCTTTTTTTCACAGCCAGGATTCCTTTCTGGTTTTTACGTTCAAGCCAAGACGTTTCGAAGGGTCAGAGTTGCACTTAGGCTGTGTACATACTACTGTTTCTTCTGGCTCCAGTGAGCTCCCACTGCTGGCATGTGAAACTGAGGACACATAGCTTTAACCACAATCCTTATGTATTGTCTAGCTTCTTGAGAAATGTATAGAATATTCGGGGAAACCCGGACGTATGTCAACCCATGTCAGGAATGCAAAAAAACCCAGGTCAGAAATAAACAAAGCTCAATAACTTTTGTGTCTGGATTTTCACTCTCTGAAATATGGCAACCCTAATATATAGTATAAATACTAGGGGCTGTTCCCCTGTTAGTTCCACTCACAAGCCCTGTTGCCATTCTGCCTCACATTAAATCCCTAAAGCTTTCAGATCCCACCCCATGCAACCAGTAAGCTCACTTTTCACCTTCCCAACTCCATTTCTTCATTCACATCCAGTATTGTGATCCGGCACTACAAATCTTCCAATGGGGGCTGCGTAATGACAGCCTTACATTTTTATGTATATAGGAAGATATGCAAAATATATTTACGATCACTAATAAAACATATCATATGCACACAGTTCAATGTTGTTTTATTTATTGCCCTCCACAAATAGGATCTTTATGCTTAAACAGCAACAGTGCTTTTCGCATGGCACCTAAATGTGTATAATGAAGGCACCAGGCAAACCTTTATGGGGAGAGGATTCCAAAAACGGGGAGCCACTGCAGAAAAGACCTTTTCTTGTGTTGCTGCCATGAGGACCTCTCATGGAGGAGGCACACGAAGGAGGGCCTCAGATGATGATCTCAAGGTTTGGTTAGGTTCATATGGATTTTCAAGCTTTAATGCTTTCAAATTTAATATTTATTTCGCGATAATTTTTTAAACGCCAGCTTTCCAGTGCTGTGGTAGCTATTATCCTACTTTAATTAAGCTCACTTGGGTCAACATCTTATAGTTCATTTCCTGCAGCCTGATCACAGTAATAACGTGGGGATGATATTTATTTAAGGTGAAAATGAGTCAACAGAGAGAACCTTCGTTAAGCCTAGAAAATCCACAGTAAACCTTTCGGATTTAGCTGCAACCTGCTATGTAATGGAAAGCAATGTTCCAAGTGTCCTTGCAGCCACTGGGCAGGTGAGCGACCAGGTCATGAGCGTAGCCGGGGGGGGCAGCTTCCCCCCCCCATAAATAAAAATCAATAAAAATACGTGGCAAACTGAGGTTTGCCCCCCCCCCAACAAATGGCCTGCCCCCCGCCCTAGCAAAAATCCTGGCTACATCCATGGACCAGGTCCTGGGCTCTCAAATTAACTTGCATAGTTTTTCTTGGGGGGGGGGTTGCATAAAAATGGAGGCTGGTCCATAAGGGTGAATGGAGGTCTGCTCTACCAACCTAAGCATGCCCCCACCTGCCTGCCTTATTTATATCTGGCCCAAGGCTTGGCACCAGACATTGGATTCCTCTTTCTTGGTGTTGAGGTAACACAACTCTGTACAACACAACTAGGAGGAGGATGGGGACAAACTAGATTTAGTAGGCTCTGGGCCTGTCCATACCTCTGCTTAACGTAGATTGCCTCACGACTCCTTTAATTCTCCTTTGTCCATGTGTCGTTGTGGAATAATAAATGAATGAAAATGAGTTTTATTCTTAGGGAAGGTATGGTGAGGATGACCATGCCCGCCTTAAGACCGATTCTGTGAACAAAGAGGTTCAAAGGAGCCCCAAGGATGGGCCCCTTTGCAGAACTGTTTCTGCATGTTTTACAACCTGAGTTGCAAATGTCTTGCATCCTGAGATGCTGAGACAAAGCAAACGTTGGACTCACAAGCTTGACTCCCTAAGAGGCTCTTTTCCTGGCTAATGTTACAATTAAGCAAAGAATGTGTTAGAATTAGATTGTTAGCCTTGAATTTAGAGATGACCCGGCATAACAAGGAGAAATAGCAGATGATAGTTTAAGAACTAGTAAAGGTAAAGGGACCCCTGACCATTAGGTCCAGTTGTGGCCGACTCTGGGGTTGCGGAGCTCATATCGCTTTATTGGCCGAGTGAGCTTCCGGGTCATGTGGCCAGCATGACTGTCGCTTCTGGCAAACCAGAGCAGCGCACGGAAACGCAGTTTACCTTCCCGCTGGAGTGGTACCTATTTATCTACTTGCACTTTGACGTGCTTTCGAACTGCTAGGTTGGCAGGAGCAGGGACTGAGCAATGGGAGCTCACCCTGTCGCGGGGATTCGAACCGCCGACCTTCTGATTGGCAAGTCCTAGGCTCTGTGGTTTAACCCACACCGCCACCCGCATCCCATAGTTAAGAACTAGTACTCTTCTTCAAATGCTTCATGAATATTATAAAACACACCCCTATTGTAAATACTGCTGTCAGAGCTGCCCTAGGTCCCAGCTCACAAAGGACCAACGCCAGTTCGTTGTTATATAAAACAGTCTTTATTGAAGCTCAGTTTCGCTTTTACAGCCGCGGCGCGCAGCTCTACGTCTCAAACTCTAGACCGCCGAAGCTCCGTCTGAGTCTCCTCCCCCCAGACACCAGTTTAAGACTCTAGCCTTGCTCCACCTCTTCCTTTGCTCTTTCCTCCTCTGGGTCCGCCTGTCCGCTGGGGTCTTGCCCTTCCTAGACTCTTCTGACGCTGAGTCCCCTGAGTCTTCCCCCTGCCTCCGGTGGGCTTTAGGACCTGGTTCCCAATCCGGGTTTTCTGCTGTCCCGCGCGCCTGTACATTCGAACTTGGCGCGCGCGCCCAGCCGGCCACCTTCCTCCTGACCGTTACACTGCTCCTGTCACTGCTTCCCCCTTCAGGGAGGCTAGCTGGGTCTGACCTCCCCTCCATTCCCCCACTCTCCGATAGAGGCGTGGTCAGCCCTGACTCCTCTTCCCTCCCTGCTGGAGGAGACGCTGGCCCTGACACATGGGACTCTTCCCCCCCACTACGCTCTGGTGGGGAAGCTGGTCCTGATCTCCAGCTGCTGCTTTGGGAGTCCCCGCTGGCCCCTTGCTTCTGGTGCGTCCCCCCTGGGACCCCCCTTGCCCTGACCATTGGCGCCCCCTTCTGGGAATCTTCTGATTCGCTGGAGAGGCTTATGGAATCTCTCGGGTCACTGTCATTCTCCCCTCCGCTGCCCTCAGATTCTTCCCCTTCGCTCTCCATTTCCTCTCTCCCCTGTGCCTCTGCTCCTGAGCCCCTGACAACTGCTAATTTGAATGGACATGGGATGTATGTTATTGCTGGGGGTACCAGTTTTACATGTTTAGGAGCAAACATGATGTAGGCGGATCAGGAAGCCTGTAAACTGCAATTTCTTAACCAATAGGAATTGTAGTAGGGATATTTGAACAGTCTTAGGGTATAAATTATCTGTGATGTGAACTGGAATGTGCAACCCCCTCTTTCCAGCATGAGTTGGGGGGTTCTTTGCCCACAGTACTGTGTCGACAACAATAAATCTCCTTCTGCTTGATCGTGGTGTAGACTCCTTCTTTCAAAGAGAAATTTGAATCCCTCTGGGAAAGATCCCTGGGTCAGATTTGTCCAACTATCCTTCTCCTCCATCTGCTGCTGTCCCACAGTTTTTTTCTGCCCTAAATCCAGAGATGTCTTATGCTTTGAAAATCCAAATAGGAAAAAAGCGACATTGATCGCATAGGGAATGGTCCGGATAATAAGGAAGAGAAATCTGGAGGGCGGTGGACTTTGCGTTGGGAGGAAAACAGAGCTTTGAACATTTCTTTCCCACCAAATTTGATACAGGGAAAAAGAGGTCTGTTGTGCACCTCCTTAGTCCACAACTTCATGCCAGAGTGTCGTCCCTCCTAAATGACCAGAAGCGTTGTGTGTGCGCGCCTGTGTAATGATATGGGATTAAAGCATTAGTTGGCTAATTGCACTGATTAAAGCCTATAACTGCTTCCCACCCCTGGCAGAATGTTGTGAGGCAGGATGTGGTGGTGGAGGTGCTGGAAATCTCTCTAATGTAGAAGAAGGCCGTAACTCAGTGGCAGAACGTCCCCTATTTCAACCTTTGCATCTCCAGGTAGGGCTGAGACCCAGGCAAGCCACTGCCAGTCAGGGCGAATGACACTGAGCAAGATGAAACCTTTTCCAGACCCATGAGGACTAGAATCTTGAAAAGGTCTTAGGGCTGAATCTCTGGCGTTTCCCAGGTAAGCCTGGGAGAGACCCATGCGGGAGACAATGCCAGTGGTCTGACTCTGCATTAGGCACCTTCCTGTGGTGAATCAGTGTGTTCTGGGGGTAATTTGTATCATGCTACAGCCGTGGAGAATCTTTATTTGTATTCCCCCCCTCCTTTTGTCCAGTACAGGCAGCAGTGACCCTTACTGCATTGTGAAAATTGACAATGAAGCCATTATCAGGTAAGTGGTGAACATTAGAACACCCACTCCCCCCCCAATCCCTCTCTCCTTGCCCTGCAAATCACAGGAAAGGGGCCAAAATCTGGACTTAATCCAAGCATACTTCTCATGAGTTACCCCTTGCATTTCAGATTGTGTATGACAGGGGTAGGCAACCTAAGGCCCGGGGGCTGGATGCGGCCCAATCACCTTCTCAATCCGGCCCGTGGATGGTCCGGGAGTCGGCGTGTTTTTACATGAGTAGAATGTGTGCTTTTATTTAAAATGCAACCCTGGGTTATTTGTGGGGCACAGGAATTCGTTCATTTTTCCCACCAAAATATAGTCCGGCCCACCACATGGTCTGAGGGACTGTGGACCGGCCCATGGCTGACAAAGGTTGCTGACCCATTTTCCTTTTAAGCACCTGGTCCTTTTTATCTCTCCCTTCCTCCCACCAGGACAGCCACTGTGTGGAAAACACTATTTCCTTTCTGGGGCGAAGAATACGAAGTCCACCTCCCCCCCACCTTCCACTGCGTGTCATTCTATGTCCTGGACGAAGATGCACTCAGGTATGACATCACTTCCTGCGGAGATGAGGCTCTTCCTCCTGGCTCTCCTTTTTAACGGCGCTGCATCTACGCAGCAAGTTATTGTGGACTCCATGCTTCTAGTGCACGCAAGCTTTGTGGAGCGTCTTCGCAACACCATCCTCATTGAAATGCCACACATACCCCTCATTTTACTCGCATTTACCCTTTCGGCAGAAATTTCAATACGTTCAAAATAAATATATGTGGAAGTGATAAATCTGGAAAACATAGTGCCTTGCACCTTAAAAGCTGCAGTGGTAAACATTTCTTAAGTTTTCTTTTCTGTAAATAAATAAATGAATAAATGTGCTACTGCTAAGCTTGGGTCTGCTGACACCTCCCTGTTGTGTGTGGCTGGTGCCATTTCTAAAATATATATATATATATTTATATATCACTATTTATTTAAAATAATAATCTTTTTTAGATTATTTTTTATTAGGTTTCAATTACAATAATCAAAAGCCTCATTATAACAATGCCAAATTATTATACAATTACTAATCCCAATCATTCAGATGCCAAATTATATAATGTAGGTGGCCTCCCGCGTGCCAGAATTGATGGTTTGATGATTTACCCAGTACTTTATTTAAAATAATAATAATCAGAGCGGTTTACATCAATTGTACATAAAACCATGCAATAAAGACCATATTTAAAAAAAACTTTAAAAAAACTATTGTGGGAAGATGTATTCTTAATGGCCTGCATAAGCCTGATGGAATAGAAAAGCTTTCAGCATGTATTTGAAAGTCGAAACAGAAGGCGCCTGCTGAATCTGTATTGGCAGAATGTTCCACATTACTGAGCGGATGAGAGTACAGCGTCCCTGATAGATGGGCCGGCTGGCCAGGCCTGGATATGTACCTTTTGCTACCTGAGGTGAAGGACAAGATTGTAACCCCCCACCCCGTAACACAAGATGGTATCCCACCTCCCTGTACAGAATCTGACCTGGTTGCCAATTGAAACATGAACATCACAAGATCTCCCACTTTATCTGTGGGGTTCAGGGGAATGGCGGATAGGCTGTTGCCACTCCCAGCATCCGCTGCCTGAAGCAGGCACATCACTCTGCCTGGGGCAAGGACCGGCTCCACACTCATCCTCTTAGGAATTATGTGCAGGGAAGGAGAACCCCAACCCCAAGGCAGCCTCTTCCACTGCCAAGAAGTTCTTTTACCATTTGGAAATAACATTCTGGGGAAAGGTGTCTGTTCCTAGTGCTAAAAGGAAAAGGAGTAGCATTGGGAGAGGGTTTCTCAGATGGGTCGCCAGGAAAGGTTGTTGCAACAAATGTCTTCAGGTGATACTGTGGGTTTCAGTGTGAGACAATCTCCCTCTCTTGCCTCCTGTCCAATTTCAGTTCTAGTCCAGATCAGTAAAACCTGAAATGCCCCAGACTTATACTCTCTGGTTTCTTGGATATCCCATTTAGCCTTACGTTTTTTGTTTTCCTTTCTCGTGCCAGCCGGGACGACGTCATCGGGAAGGTCTGCATCACCCAAAGCCTGTTGGCTGAGCACCCAAAAGGTGAGATTATTCCCTCTGTTGGGAGACGTAACTAATTTTGAATGAGTAAATTGAACAAATTTGGTGCACGGTCCCTGCACCAAAAAGTCAATATCTGCAGATGGAGTAACTAAAGCAGGTGAACCTCCCATTTCTTTCCCATTTTCTTTACCTTCCCCCCTTATTCTTAGTAAACAAGGATGTTTGATGGATAACAAATTTGGCTACGAATTGTAACATCACATTCATTTTTTTAAAACAGTGTTTCTGGCCATACAAAGAGTGCCTTTAAACACATGGGACCGATTACCTGAACCTCGAGATGCATGTGAACTCTGCACAACCCAGTCTTGACTGTGCTGTGCAAACTCTCATACTGTAACTGCTGCTCATGATCAGCTATACAGCGAGGGGAGGGGAATGTGCAAATTAAATGCAGATATGTAGATATTCCTGTTTTGCACAATTTATTCCAAACACAGACTGTAGGAGTGAGGGGATCCCCTAGCTAATATCCTCTGCTATTCATGCAGATTCTAAATTCAGCTGCTTCTCCCTCCAATTCATATAGGTCCCATTTCTCTCGCTTTGTGTTATCCTTGTGGGTCTGAACCCAGAACAGGTTTGAGGGCAGCAGTCAAGAACTGGATCCCAGCTGAATCTCCTGCTCCCACCCACTTCCATCTCCTTATCTGTCTACCTTCCTAGACAGGAGCAAAAGAGAGGACGTGATCTGCTTGCTCAAGGATCAGGGGATGTCTTGGGAGGCCCAGTGACTCATCTTTGGGATGGAGGCGGAGAGAGAGATTGCGTCTGAGAAAAGAATCTTCCTCTCTTGACCTTTGGGGCAGTTTCTGCCCAGTAACTTAGATGCTTTTCCAAGATTTAGAGGTGATGGTTGCTTTCTTGGCTTTAGGCCTGGGTTCAGGGATCTCCTGGAGAACAAATCCCTGAGCTGGCTGTGTGAATATTGCAATGTTTTCATGTGATTTTGTGGGTCTGCTACGCAGGTTATTCATCTCTCAAGAAGACAGCAGGCCCTCTAACATCTCACAGAGGACACTTGTAATGCCACAGTTCTTTGTGAGTTGCTCCACTATGATGTTGTTGTTTAGTCGTTTAGTCGTGTCCGACTCTTTGTGACACCATGGACCGGAGCACGCCAGGCACTCCTGTCTTCCACTGCCTCCCGCAGTTTGATCAAACTCATGCTGGTAGCTTCAAGAACACCATCCAACCATCTCATCCTCTGTCGTCCCCTTCTCCTTGTGCCCTCCATCTTTCCCAACATCAGGGTCTTTTCCAGGGAGTCTTCTCTTCTCACGAGGTGGCCAAAGTATTGGAGCCTCAGCTTCAGGATCTGTCCTTCCAGTGAGCACTCAGGGCTGATTTCCTTAAGAATGGAGAGGTTGGATCTTCTTGCAGTCCATGGGACTCTCAAGAGTCTCCTCCAGCACCATAATTCAAAAGCATCAATTCTTCGGCGATCAGCCTTCTTTATGGTCCAGCTCTCACTTCCATACATCACTACTGGGAAAACCATAGCTTTTACTATGGACCTTTGTTGGCAAGTAGAGACATCACCTTGCTCCACTATAGTTGTTTATTATTATTATTATTATTATTATTATTATTATTATTATTATTATTTTATTATTGGTTGCAGGTATTCATATACTGTTTTTCATCAAATGAGATACATTTATGAGGAAATCAGACAACAGAATTAAACAGTGCAGTATATCAGCCTTTGACAGCCTAGTTTCCTCTAGAGTCTAGAGCAGAGGTAGGCAACCTAAGGCCCGGGGGCTGGATGTGGCCCAATCGCCTTCTCAATCCGGCCCACAGACAGTCCGGTAATCAGTGTGTTTTTACATGAGTAGAATGTATCCTTTTATTTAAAATGCATCTCTGGGTTATTTGTGGGGCATAGGAATTCATTCTGAGTTTTTTCTAAATATAGTCCAGCCCACCACATGGTCTGAGGGACGGTGGACCGGCCCACGACTGAGAAAGGTTGCTGACCCCTGGTCTAGAGGTTTTAGACTACAGGTCCCATTTTTGTTTTTGTTTTTTCTCATGGCATTTTAGGTAAAAAAGAAGAAGCAGATATTCTATGCATTGTGTTGTAGACTGGCAATGAAGAATTGAATCCAATGCTTCTTTGATGAAAATAGGGACGTCTTATTCCATCATCATCATTTTATTATTTAAACCCAACCCATCTGATTGGGTTGCCCCAGCCAATATGGGTGGTTTCCAACGTATATAAAAACATAATAAAGCTTTAAACATTAAAAAAACTTCCCTATACAGGGCTGCCTTCATATGTCTTCTAAAGATTGTATAGTTACTTATCTCCTTGGCTCCCTGGGGGGGGGGGGTTGTTGCATAACTCCATACCCTCCAACATTTCTGTGATGAAAATAGGGGCATCCTGAGGAAAAGTGGGACATTCCAGGATCAAATCAGAAACCTGGACAGCTTCTGTGAATCCGGGACTGTACCTGGAATATAGGGACATTTGGAGGGTCTGCGATGAACAGAACAGACCAATAAATTGGAGCAGGTGGTCCATTCATTTTGTGTGCATCACAGTCTTGCATCACTGCAGCAGTTGCATTCTGTTCATTGACAACATTGCATGACTGACTCTTCCCTGTCTGCAGCTAATGAGAGACTTCCTTTTTCTGCTGCATTTCTAGGTCTGAACTTTAAAATGCTGTGTCTGTGTGCTTTTGCTTTGGGGGTTTTTCACCAGCACTCCCCCCCCCCCGCCCATGAAAACATGCTCTTTACCACTGAATCGGACCAAATGGCAATCCGTGAAAAATCTGAATTGAAGTTTGTTTTCCGACTTAGCGTTAAAAAGGAGGTTTTCCTGGGGAAAGTGCCAAAAGTAATAAAAAATAAAAGTGCTCAGGCACAGAGCTTTAAAGTGCCAACCTCTGCCTAGAAAGCGCAGGGCAAAAGGTAACTCTTTCCTGGCATAGGCAAGTCCCAGCACATTTACTGGCTCGTTCCAGTAAATGGGATGGAAAAGATGGACAGGGTGACAACAGTGCCAGATTTATGTATAAACTAAACAAGCTTATAGCTTAGGGCCCCACTCTCTTGGGGGCCCCAAAAAATTTAAAGGAAAAAAAAACTGGATGTACATTTCCAAAATATAAGATGAAAAAATAAAATAAAACCTACATACAGCAACAGTGTTTTGTGTTGTGTAGGCTCCTATGATGTAAGTAATGGGCCCTGCCTGCTAGCCTGCTCCCTAAAATATCACTGGTTTGCTCATTTCTATATATAGGGTCCCTACATTCTGCATGGACTGGTTGCATGGTGACATGTGCAAATGGCTTTAGATGCCTATTAGGTTCATAAATTACCATATAGCGTATATTCAACACAAAAAACAGTGACAATTTGTTGTTGACAAAGAACAGCTGGACCTATAAAGGGCCCTGTTACCTTCAGTAGCTTAGGGCCACCTCAAATCTAAATCCGGCCTGGACTAGTGGCAAGAGGACTAAGAGCTAAGGAAGACTCCAGAGTCAGAATAAAATGTCAAAGAAGTTTTTAACAGTCTCCAGCTGTGTACACACTCCTGTTTAATCCGCATCCAGTGTGCTCCCACTGCTGGTTTGGGAAGCGGTGAACACACAATGTTAGCCAATATCCATATCTCTCCTGTTGCATCTTAGGAAATATGCATATTTATTTTGGTCAATAACTAGTAGAGTTCTTAGGAAATATTTTACATTGTATTTTTGTGTTGTGAACTAACCTGAGATCTATGGATGAAGGGCGGTATACAGCAATATTTTTTTTAAAAAGTAGTATAAACACCGACAACTGGGAAACACTGGCCTGCGAGCGCTCCAAATGGAGAACAACCTTTATCAAAGGCGTCATAAACTTTCAGGACGCTTGAACTCAGGACAAAGGGGAGAAACGTGCTAAGAGGAAGGCACGCTTGGCAAAACCTCACCATGACCAACTCCTGCCTGGAAACCTATGTTCCCACTGTGGAAGGATGTGTGGATCCAGAATTGGCCCCCACAGTCATTTATGGACTCGCTGTTAAAACCATGTTCATGGAAGACAATCTTACTTGACTACAAGTGATCGCCAGAGAAGAAGACGATAGATTTTTAAAAGTAAAAAATAAAATTTGTGGTGTGGTTTTCAACAAATCAGCTTCGACCGGAACTGAGAAAAATAACAATCTATCTGTGCTTCCAGCTGGTAATGTGCAATCAACCTTCATGACCCCTGGGGTCCTTTTCCAGCTCTATGATTCTGTGATCTTCTTTGACCCTGTGCCATCCCTGTGAGGGTAGGGCACGGTTGCCCCTGAGTTGAAAATCTTGTGCTTCCTTCTCCCTGTCTCTGTTCCCAGGCTATAATGGCTGGCTGAACCTCACCGAAATTGACCCAGACGAGGAAGTTCAGGGGGAAATCCATCTCCAGATTGAGATCGTTGACAGCGGTGCCGTGAGAAAGCTGCGCTGCACTGTGTTTGATGCCAGGTAAGGCTGTGCTGTGCCAGAGACGAGGTCGCAGGACAAGGGTTTGCAACCTCCCCTCCCCTGTGACTTTATGCCATCCAGCCCTCCGTCTGATTTTAAGATGCCTCCACAAGCTGTAAAGCCAGGCCCTTTGGCAGGAGCAATCTGTCCCTCTTCCCCCACAAAGACTCCTCGGAACTGTAGCTTACCCCTCACAGAACTACAGCTTTCAGCATCCTTGACAAACTACAATTCCCAGGATTCATTCATTCATTTATGCTTTTCAGGTTTATACATTTCACTAATTTTACAATCATTTTGACATTTCAAAACTTGACTTCCTTCCCCCTCTTTCTGCGGTTCCTTAAATTTATTTTTAATATTTTCTGCATATCCAAATTAACTTAATTTGCTCATTTATTCATTTGCTTCAAATATATACTCCTGTCAAACTGCAGGTTATTACAATAATCCTGCCAATGTTCTTATCTCTTTACAATTTACCTGTAAATATTGAATAAACCATTTCCATTCTTTGATAAAAAGTTTGTTATCTTAATTTCTTATTTTTCTGGTAAGTTTTGCCATTTCTGCATATTCCGTAAGTTTTTGTATCCATTCCTCCTTTGCTGGGACTTCTGCTTATTGCCATTTTGGGGCGAGTAACATTCTTGCCGCTGTAGTCGCATAGATGAATAAGTTTCTATACAGTTTTTGTAGTTTTGCCCCTATAATTCCTAAAAGAAAAGCTTCTAGGTTGTTGTTTTTTACAAATGTTATATTAAACATCATTTTCAATTCATTACATAATTCATTACATACCCAGCCAGATGGGCGGGGTATAAATAATAAATTATTATTATTAAATTATTATTTCCCAGTAAGCTTTAACCTTACTATAAGGCCACCGCATATGATAAAAAGAACCTTCTTTCTCTTTACATCCCAGGATTCCTTGTTGGAGCTCATTTGCTTTGAATGTGTGGCATTTGCACAATCTTGCCTACAGCAGCCTTCTTGGGTTTCTGTCCTGGCTCCCAGGTCTACTCAGAGATGCTGGAGATTGGACCTGGGGCCTTCTAGATGCAGAGCATGCACTCTGCCACTGAGCTACTCTGTGTGGAGTCTGTCCCCCCCCCCCCCCCCAGAGGATCAAGCCAAGCCCTTTGTCAGGGAACATTCTGAGCCCTCTCTAATTGCAAGAGCCCTTAATCATAGGGGATTGGCTGACTGAAGGAATGAGCTGTGCCGTTCCTTTAAGAAGAACAGAGGGAACACAGGGCAGTGATGCTGGGTCAGATAGACAGCCCTTCCAGCCTATTAATAAAAATTATTACTGATTTCGGTGCATAGCACTTGTGAAAGTGCTTCCCATAAATTTTCTTGCTCTAGAGCTGGAGCAGTACAGCAACTAAGAGACCGAGCCCTCACAGGGATTTTATTTGTCATTTATTTTTTTAGTCAAATTTTTGTTGGCAATATATTTTATATTACAAATTTCCCATATAATACATAATCATTTTTTCTTTGATTGACTTCCCATCCCATTTTCCATGGTGTTTTTTTTTTATTCTTCCCCTTTGTTGCACCCTATCTTTCTTCTTTTATATCATAACCACAATACAATAATCTCTCATTCTTTCTGTTGCTCGTTGTTCAAATCGTGCTCGCGAATTCATCATACTATAATATTTCTTCAAACAGTCTGAAAAAGACTTGCATTCCTCCTTAAAGCAATCATCGTTCTCTAGTTTTAGCTGTTAACTTTGCAGATTCAACCTAGTCCATTGCTTATCCAGTCTTCTTTGGAACTTCTTCTTTTCATTTCTGTGCATAAAGAATCCTAGCTGCTGTAGTTGCACACATAAACAACCTAACCATCTTTTTTTTGGACTTCTATCCTTATAATCCCTAGATATGTTAGTCGATTTTAAAAAAGTCTCTATCCCACCTTTGCTCAAAGGGGCTCAAGTCGTCGTGCGTGGGCTCTCCCTCTCTCCTTGTTGCCCTCACAACAACCCTGTGGGGTAGGCTAGGCTGAGAGACTGTGACTAAACCAAGGTTACCCAGTGAGCATCATTACTGAGTAGGGATTTGAATTCTTCCAGGCAGCTTTTGGCAAACGAGCCTCTCTCTCCTGGCCTCAGCCCCCTTCCCTGTTTGCAAAATTGAGAATAATGCTGATGTACCTTACAGGGTTGTTTTTGCTTTTATTTAAATTTGCCTTCTGCCAAGTAACTCGTGGTTCTAGCTGAGACCCATCTAGCTCAGATTATCCGTTCATTGACTGCTAGCTGCTGTCCAGGATCCCCAGCTGGGGAATGAATCGGGGATCTTCTTTATGCAAAGCTCTGCTGTAATACAAATGCCAAACCCACTTTGACCAGGGTGCTCATTTGCATTAAAAATCAGAGGGGGGGCGGGCAGGGAAATCAACCAACATAATTGCATAGCTGGTATGAAACAGCGCAGGAGGATTCATGGTTTTGTGGTGGGCACAGCAAAGATGAGACGGAAGGGAAAGTTCAGGCTTGCGAGGGTGTAGCTGGGAATGGCTGATCATTGCTGCTGTGCAAGCGGAGGATCTGGCGATGTGACTCAGAGATGCGTTTTTATAAAGCAATAAACTTTCCCAATTTCCCTTTCTTTACTGTCTCGCGGTATCCACCAGTTCTCTGCTGGAAATAATCCTTTCATTAAAATGAAACTCACAAACTCGGTGGGAGAAAAACATTGGACGTTCAAAAGGAAGCCTGTGCAGAGTGACGCTGTGTTTGAATACTGGGCCCCCGGAAGAGGGTGCAAAGCCATATGCTAAGGGCTAGTGGGGGTGTTGATGTTGTTGTTTAGTCGTGTACGACTCTTTGTGACCCCTAGACCAGAGCACGCCAGGCACTCCTGTCTTCCACTGCCTCCCGCAGTTTGGTCAAACCCATGCTGGTAGCTTCGAGAACACTGTCCAATCATCTCGTCCTCTGTCGTCCCCGTCTCCTTGTGCCCTCCATCTTTCCCAACATCAGGGTCTTTTCCAGGGAGTCTTCTCTTCTCATGAGGTGGCCAAAGTCTTGGAGCCTCAGCTTCACAATCTGTCCTTCCAGTGAGCACTCAGGGCTGATTTCCTTAAGAATGGATAGGTTGGATCTTCTTGCAGTCCATGGGACTCAAGAGTCTCCTCCAGCACCATAATTCAAAAGCATCAATTCTTCGGTGGTCAGCCTTCTTTTTGGTCCAGCTCTCACTTCCATACATCACTACTGGGAAAGTGGGGGTGTTAAGGGATGATGATACTACAGAAGAATGTTAGAAAACAGCAACACAAACCCTTTGACTGAAAGAGAAAATGTAGGGAACAATTTAGGGGAGCCATGACAGCGTGACGGAGATTGTGACGCCATGTGCCATCCAAGAGACTTTTAAATTTTTGTTCATTCTTTGTTTATGTGCTTTCTTCCGAGCCTCAGATCTAAAAGTGCCCAAATTTGCTCATTCTTCAGCTTGCTGTATAGCCTTCGCTGTTTCTCTTATGTAAAGCTACGTAACTGAGGTTGCGAATAAGGTTATGAGTAATAGGCCGAACCAAGGCATTTTGCAGAAGGAAATCGCAACCCCACCCTCAAATAAAGGCAGGCTGTGTACACACCATATATTTAAAGCACATCCCCCCCCGCTGGAATTTGAGGGGTAGACTACAGTTCCCAGAGTGCTTTGGTGTGGGAAATGTGCTTTAAATGCACCTGTCAGTTTGGGTTTCTCTGTTCCTCAGTTTTTCTGTCTTAACTTCAGTTTGCAACATTTCCATGTCAGTCTGTGGAATGTTTTTTCCAAATCCTCACAAAAAATCAAAAGCATTTTAATGCACATTCCTTCTAATATACACATGTATGGATTTTGCCTAATACACCCATATTTTTTGCAAGCAGTGTCCAATGAACAGCACAGGAAGTGTGCCTGGGTTAATTAACCCTTCACATACGCTGATTCCAGGGGACAAACAGCGGCTAAGCCACATTTGAACACACCTGAGTCTAGCTGTTAACCTAACGGAGGGTTTCAAAAAGTGAAAATCCACACACAACATTTGTTGAGCTTTTTGTAGGAGGGCAAAGTCGTTGTTGAACTTTTTTTTTTTTTTTTGCAAGGGGCAAAGTTGTTCAGCTTTTTTTTTTTTTTTGCAAAATCTCCCCACCACTTCTGACGTGGGTTGCCCTGGACATTTTAACCGATTTTTGGAAATTCCGCCTAGGAGCTATTTCTGACAGATGAATCCTGGATGTGTCCGGGAAGATCCCAGACATATGGCAGCCCTGCTTAACGTGCCAGTTCTAATCAAATCCTAACATTTATTAAACCCCAAGCATTTAGCGCCCACAGATCTATAACAATACCCCCCCCCCTCTCTCCTTCCTTCACAGAGATTTGGCCCGGAAAGACAGAAACGGAGCCTCTGATCCCTTCGTCAGAGTCCGCTATAATGGCAAGACGCAGGAAACTTTGGTGAGCTCCAGCTGTAAGGAGAACAAGGTGCTGGGGGAGGCGGGGATAGGGGAAGGGCTACATAAGGCATTTAAGGGCAGGTCCATGCCAGGCACAGAAAGTATGTGGCTCTCCCCCACAAAGAGCCACGGGAACTGTAGTTTAAGGCCTTGTTGGGAATGACAGCTCTGTAAGGGTGAAACTACCGTTCCTAGGATCGTTTAGAGTGGGGGAGCTGTGAGCTTTAAATGTGTGGTGTGGATCTGCGCTCTGGAGAGGCAGCCTGCCAAATATATCCCACTCTCATATTTGTTTCCCCAGCCTTAAGTCCAGATGGGCAGGGTACAAATTGGTTACGAACTTAATTCGTTCCAGAGGTCCGTTCTTAACCTGAAACCGTTCTTAACCTGAGGTACCACTTTAGCTAATGCGGCCTCCCGCTGCCGCCGCACAATTTCTGTTCTCATCCTGAGGTAAAGTTCTTAACCCGAGGTACTACTTCCGGGTTAGCGGAGTCTGTAACCTGAAGTGTTTGTAACCCGAGGTACGACTGTAATAAAATTATTATGATGATCACTGGACATTAAGTCCTGTATAAGCCTAGGCAAGTGGGGCCCAAAACAGCAGAATGTCCCAGTGTGAAGCGTTCTAGTTCAGGATACAGTGGTACCTCAGGTTACATACGCTGCAGGTTACATACGCTTCAGGTTACAGACTCCGCTAACCCAGAAATAGTGCTTCAGGTTAAGAACTTTGCTTCAGGATGAGAACAGAATTCGTACTCTGGCAGCGCGGCAGCAGCAGGAGGCCCCATTAGCTAAAGTGGTGCTTCAGGTTAAGAACAGTTTCAGGTTAAGTACGGACCTTCGGAACGAATTAAGTACTTAACCTGAGGTACCACTGTACTCCTTTTCATTCCTCCTCCCAACTGGCTTTCCATTCCCTGTTCACTCAGTGTATGAGTCCCCATTTGACTGTTTTCCTTGTACCACTTTTATTATCTCCCCCCTCCCTTCTCAAAAGAAAGATATTTGGCACTTCAGCAAATTTGGGGAATTGCTGGTCCCTCTCTTTGGCTACATAAGGACCAGGGCTCAAAATAATGGAGGTCATTTTTAGCACACACAAAGGGAAACTGCCCCAAACATTGCAGGTGTGTGTGTCTTGGGAAGAACCTTCAAAGCTCTCTTTTTTCAAGAAGTCCAAAATGAGGCTCCAGCTGGCACAATAGGGGAGTGGTCAAGTGGGAGAGTGAATGGGCATGTGTCCCTCTCTCCAATCCTCTCTTTTCTAGCCACTTCATTCCATCCAGTGTTATGAGTTTGGGCGGGTCAGTCTGGATGACATCCTTGGGTCCCCAGCAGGCTCCTCCGCCTGTTCTCACCAGCATCTTTTAAAGAATTTGCTTTCGGGAGGAAGAATTTGCTTCCTTCATTGCCTTTGCCTGTCGTCCAGGTGATCAAAAAATCTTGCTACCCAAGGTGGAACGAGACCTTTGAGTTCGACCTGGACGAGTCGGCGGTGGAGAAGCTCTGTGTCATCGAGGTCTGGGATTGGGATCTCGTCAGCAGGAACGATTTTCTGGGAAAGGTGAGCAGCAGGGAAAGAGGGCTTGGAAGAAGACAGACATTTAAATGTTCTCCTAGCAAGGGGATAGTCCTGTTCAAAGGCCGATCTCTTCGGTTTTCTGCCTTTGCATTCTGTGTACGTTTTTTAAAGGAATCCCCGCTTTCAGCAGGGTGGGGGAATAAACATTTTAAAATCAAATACGATTGCAGCAAGCATAGAGATATGGAAAAGGCTGGAGTGACGGGCAGATGGGAAAGACGGTCCTACATTTGGTGTGCCTCTTGTACACTGCCCTGTGCAATTGGAGGGTGGGTTATAAATGCTTCTCGTATATAAAAATAAATGGGAAAAGCTGCCGCTCAGGGAATGCGGCTCTCGACAGAGAAGAGCACTGTCCACTCACAACACTGAATTATGGGGGTGCTCAGAAGTGTGGCCCTGCCCAGTTTTTAGTATACATTGCTAACCCACAGGTCTTTCCCATTCTCTGCTCCCAGGCCTGTACAGAGTTGGGGGCAGTCAGGTACACTTACCCCAGGCCTCAGAGGGCTAAGTCGACTGGTGGGCCCTGCCCTGCCAGTTTATGACTTTATTCTAACAAAATTCCTGCCCTGAGCCTCAGACAAGCTGTGCATGGGCGTGCCTGCTCCTATCTGGTTATGTTTTTTTGGAAATGGGAGGTGCTGGGAGGGACATGGGGAGGCCTTGCTTCAGATGGGAGTAAGCACAACTTTCTTTTCCTTTCCTTTTGCAGGTAGTATTCAATGTCCAAGGGCTACAGGCCGTCCAACAAGAGGAAGGGTGGTTTATGCTCCGACCGGACAAATCAAAGCCAAGGCGGGACGAGTGAGTCTCTGTTTTCCAAAGGGGAGCTTCACTTGTTTGCCCCTAAGTCAACCTGTATGGGATTTTGCTGCTGCCACAGTCCTGCTAGAGTGTTTAAGGGATATGGGTGGTGCTGTGGTCTAAACCACTGAGCCTCTTGGGCTTGATGATCAGAAGGTCGGCAGCTCAAATCCCCGCAATGGGGTGAGCTCCTGTTGCTCTGTCCCAGCTCCTGCTAACCTAGCAGTTCAAAAGCACACCAGTGCAAGTAGATAAATAGGTACCGCTGTGGCAGGAAGGTAAACGGCGTTTCCATGCGCTCTGGTTTCTGTCACAGTGTTCCATTGCACCAGAAGCGGTCTAGTCATGCTGGCCACGTGACCCGGAAAGCTGTCTGTGGACAAATGCCAGCTCCCTCAGCCTGAGAGCGAGATGAGCGCCGCAACCCCATAGTCGCCTTTGACTGGACTTAACTGTCCAGGGGTCCTTTACCTTTTACCTTTTACCTTTTACCTTTAGAGTGTTTGCCCTACTTATCTTACCGTAGTTTCTCCTTGGAGCCAAGGGCATAAAAATCTCTTCTGCCCAGGGGCGGCGGCAGACGTCATTTATTTATTCCTTTTGTAAAATTTACGTCCCGCTTGACTGTATAGAAAAACCTCAGAGCGGTTTCATAAATGCAGCCCTGCATCCTAGCCTTACCCAGTCATTGCTGTTCCACTATAAAGCTGGAGTAGGAGAAGATTTGAGAGGGGATACGAGAGCCATGGTCAAATATCTGACAGAGAAGCTTGTTTTCTCCCGCTCCAGAGGGTGGGACCCAAACCAAGGGATTCAAATGGTAAGAAAGAAGAGTTTGAGTAAACATTAGGAATAACCTTGTGGTTTTAAGAGCTGGGGCATCAGACTCCCCTTCGTTGAAGGTTTTTAAACAGAGCTTGGGTGGCCATCTGTCATGGATTCTATATCCGCCATTCTTGCATTGTGGGGGGTTGGACTTAGACGACCCTGGGAATCCCTTCAAAACAGAACCTAATGACTCCTACAAAATCACAAGGGCCTGTAGCTCATGTCCTGAGGAGGGCCGAGGAGCCTGTGGCTCTCCAGTCGTCCTTGCTGGCTGGGAGTGATGGGAGCTGCAGTTGGGCAGCATCTCTCCTGAAGGATTCTGTGGTCCATAGTGGGACCATGTAGTTAGTTTGCATCAATCACATTGCACCTTTCCCCTTCCTTTCCAGGGGCAACCTGGGCTCCCTACATCTCCAGTTGCAGCTTCGGGATGAGACGGTGCTTCCGTCCATCCACTACCAGCCTCTTGTCCAGCTTCTGTGTCAGGAAGTTAAAGCAGGTGCCCAGGTGAGATCCATCGCTTTTGGCGGGCAGGCCCTTGAACTGGGGTGACCCCGGTTCTTCCCTTCACTCAGCTGTAAGGCTCACTGGCTCACCAGTCGTTCTCTCTTAGCTTAACCTACTTTGGAGGGTTGTTGTGAGTATAGAAATGTGTTTGGAACCCATGCGTGCTGCCTTTAGCATTTTGGAGGAAAGGTAGGACAGCAATCTTGGAGATGCACCTGTTTAGACATGCATTCCCCTGATCTCCAGGCCTGAACCTCCTGATCTAATCGCTTTAATTGTTAATGCTGTTTTAATGGGCTTGTTTTATTGTACGTCTTAATTATGCACGCTTGGAATGCCTTGATGAAATGAACTTACTGTGCATTTTGATTGCACGTGGATATATTTTGTAACTCGGTTTTACACTTGTAAGCTGCTTAGAAGCCATGCTGGCAAGCGAGCAGAATGTGTATATAAATAAATAACGCCGTTAAAGAAATATTTGATGACGTTGAGAATAGACCCCCTAATTTTGTGCATGCAAGTGGGGTGGGGGAACTCTCCATCACCCTTTAATTGATTTTCCCCCCCCTCCTCCTGAGTTTCACGTGCGTTAGCCTTCCTGGGGGGGGTCTATCTCCTCAGCCGCTCCCCTTCTTTTTTTCCTCCTGGCAGGACGGGAAAGTCCATTTAATAACCCTGATTGACGACACCACGACCGCCGAGTGCAGGCAGGAAGTTGCCGTCAACCTTGTCAAGCTCTTCATGGGCCAAGGGTTGGCCAAAGAGTTCTTGGACCTCCTCTTCAAACTGGAACTGGATAAAACAGGTAAGGATCCTGGGTGCATGACTGGGACATGGGTGGCTACCATGCTCTGTGCAGCTGGGGTACCATTTTGTGTCACTAGAACGGAGGAGAGTGTGCAATGCATGAGGGAGGGGGCGAGGAAATCCAGACCTTCTCCAAAAAAATTGATCAGTTGGACCCAGGGGCATCTTACCCATAGAGGCTAATGGTGCAGGGCACCAAGTTCTGGAGGGCGCCAGGGAAGAGGCAGAGGCTGGACGCGGCGCCTCCCGGCATCAGCTCGCCGCCCTCACTCGCCTCTGCCATGCCACGCTGAAGCAGCACCGCACCCAGAGCTTCCGCCTGCCGTGGCCACCACAGCACGAAGCGGCCAGCTGAGCCGGGAGCCGCCACGTCGAGCCTCTGCCTCTTCCCTGCTGGAGGAGCTGGCCTCCAGCCACTGCCCGCCTCCTCCAGCCCCACAGAGCTGGGCGCAGTGCCATCCTCCCTAAAAAAGTTTGGCAACTATGGGAAAGGGATGGTGGTGCCGGAGGGATCTTTGCACCACAGCGCCGGATATGCTTAAGACAACCCTGGTTGGACCTAGGCATGGGCAGTTCCTGTCTGCCTATGGCATTTCCAGACTGCTACTGTAATTTGGGGAGCGGGGAGTGCTGTGGGTTAAACCACAGAGCCTAGGACTTGCCGATCAGAAGGTCGGCGGTTCGAATCCCCGCGACGGGGTGAGCTCCCGTTGCTCGGTCCCTGCTCTTGCCAACCTAGCAGTTCAAAAGCACGTCAAAGTGCAAGCAGATAAATAGGTACCACTCCAGCGGGAAGGTAAACTGCGTTTCCGTGCGCTGCTCTGGTTTGCCAGAAGCGGCTTAGTCATGCTGGCCACATGACCCGGAAGCTACATGCCGGCTCCCTTGGCCAATAAAGCGAGATGAGCGCCACAACCCCAGAGTCGGTCATGACTAGACCTAATGGTCAGGGGCCCCTTTACCTTTACCGTAATTTGGGTGGGATTCAGTCACATGCTGGCAAATTCAGGTTCCTAGAATCATAGATGGGGCAGCTCAGTAGAAGGCAACTTCCTATGTTCATGTGTTCTGTTTCAGATGAGCCAAACACTCTGTTTCGAAGCAACTCTCTGGCCTCTAAGTCAATGGAGTCATTTCTGAAGGTATTTGATGGGTTTGTGGTTTGCTTGTGTGAATCTTGAGTATGTTTATATCGTTCTGTTTTTCCATCCATCTATATATCTCCGGGGATAGCTCAGTCAGAGCACGAGCCTCTCGATCTCGGGGTCGTGGGTTCAAGCCCCACGTCGAGCAAAAGATTCCTGCATTTCAGGGGGGCTGGACTAGATGGGACCCTCTTGGTCCCTTCCGACTCTACGATTTTATGATTCTATACTGCTGTCTGATCGTTCAGTCCGCTGTCTCTCCTGTCCTGCCCCAAAATCTTCCCACCTGCAGGTGGCAGGGATGCAGTACCTCCACAAAGTCCTTGGGCCGACAATCAACCGAGTGTTTGAAGAGAAGAGATGCGTTGAGCTGGACCCCAGCAAAGTGGAGAGCAAGGATATTGGGTAAGAGAGCCGGGATCAGGGACCTTTCTCAGACTGTACATATTGCTGTGAGTTTCGGGAGCGGGGGTTAGTACGCAGGACACCTGGGTCCCTTCTAAGTTCTGGGGGTTCTGGATTCAGGCAGGGGTTACAATTGAATAGGTTGGTGAAGTAGGCAGGAAGGCCAGCTTCTTGCTGGATGAGTTGATGGCCCTAAATATTGTTGTTAGTATAACAAAGGAAGCTGTGCTGTGCCAGAAAGCATTTGGGTGGGCCCCTCTCCCTCACCTGGCTGCTAGTGAGTGGGAAGAACTACAGTCACACCTCAAGTTACAGACGCTTCAGGTTGCGTTTTTTGGGGTTACGAACCCGTCGAAACCCGGAGGTACTGGAAGAGGTTACTTCCGGGTTTCAGCAGTCGCACATGCGCAGAAGCACGAAATCACAACCCGCACATGTGCAGACATGGCGCTGTGGGTTGCAAACACTGCGGGTTGCGAATGTGCCTCCTGCAAGGATCTTGTTCACAACCCGAGCGTCCACTGTATAGCCAAGAATGGCTGAGCTGGGCTAGAAGCAGAGAGTGAGAGTCCTGCTTGATTTCTGCTTCAATCCAAGGCTGTGAGCAAGACCTTCTGGGGTGTTGGTGTTGATGTGATCCCCTCTACCATAGGCTCAGGTTGTATATATACAGTGGTACCTCGGGTTAAGAACTTAATTCGTTCTGAAGGTCCGTTCTTAATCTGAAACTGTTCTTAACCTGAGGTACCACTTTAGCTAATGGGGCCTCCCGCTGCCACCGTGCGATTTCTGTTCTCATCCTGAAGCAAAGTTCTTAACCCGAGGTACTATTTCTCGGTTAGCAGAATCTGTAACCTGAAGCGTCTGTAACCTGAGGTACCACTGTATGTGTAAATAAACCCTTTATCTTAAAAACACCCCGTCTAACCTGTCCCTCATTCCAAGGAAACCGAACCACAGGTAAGCACCCGGAACCACCGAACTCTTGCACCACTCAGAATTTTTTGTGGTGTTCAATAATATGTGCAGACACACACATGCACACATGACATAGTATCACAACACCCCACTATGACCAGGTAAATACAGCAATGACGTTGTTCCATTTCCATAGAGCACATTTAAATTCTTAAAACGTGGTCCCGTGTGTGGAGCCCAAACTGTGGTCCCTTGCGGTTTACTCCTGTTTGTGATTTACGTAAGAAATACCAGATGACCTAACCTGGGGAGAAAACAGTAAAGACCTTATGAAGAGAGCACAGCAGAGGTTATATTTTCTGAGAATCCTCCGGAAAAATAATCTCTCAAAGGACCTGTTGATGGCATTTTACCATTGTACTGTTGAGAGTGCATTAACTTATGGTCTCTGTGTGTGGTTTGGGAGCTGCACGGTCAGGGGAAAAACAATGCTGTCCAGGGTTGTAAAGACTGCGGAGAGAATAATTGGGTGCACTCTTCCCACCTTGGATCAAATCTACGCCTCCAGGTGTCATAAGAATGCTGCAGAGATAGTGCAGGATAGTGCACACCCCGGAAATGATCTCTTTCAGCTTCTGCCTTCTGGAAGAAGGTGCAGGGTTATAAAGACTAGGACTAGCCACCTGAGAAACAGTTTCTATCCAAATGCAATTTTGGTTTTAAACGCAGTGTAAGGTAGTCTCTATGGGAGTATATTGTATTTAATTACGGGGTATCAGAGTTTTTAGGGGGCTAACCAGGCTGGGATAGCTGGGATAGCAGGCTTGTTGGCTTTGAATGTCTGGTGTAGATTTTTTCAATTTCGTTGTTCTGTATGGGACAATGACAATAAAGATTATCGCATCGTATTATAGTATTTTATTTGTAAAACCAGTTCATACATTTATATCCTGCCTTTCCTCCTGGGAGCTCAAGGCAACGCACGTGCTTCCCCTGCCTTCTGTTTAATCCGCACAACAGCCCTGCAGTGTAGGTTAGGCTGAGAGAGACAGCGGCTGGCCCAAGGGTCACACCCAGCAAGCTTCACGGCAGAGGGAAGGGATTTGAATACCTGCTCCCTGCAAAGTCCTGGACTAAACCACTCTGGCTTATGCAGATGGCAGCGATGATGCTGGAAAGGTGTCACAGTCTTGGGGGGCGGGAATCCATTTATTTATTTTTCTTCCTTTCCCTATGGCAGCTGCTCCAGCCTCCATCGTATCCAGAGCGAAAGTGACGTCATCCAGCAGAGCGCTCAGCACCTTCGGTCCTATCTCGGCGACCTGCTTGGCACCATCTCCAAATCCGCCAAGGCGTGTCCTGCCATCATCCGCGCCACTTTCCAGCTGCTCTTCAAGAGGGTTGGGGAGCAGTTCCCTGAAGAGAAGGACCAGGTCAGTACAATGGAATCCTCCTCCTCCTCCTCCTCGCCTCTGTCCTGGCCTGCTCTAACCACTGAACTGCACCGCTTCACCAACTGCGGACCTTGGGAGGGCTTTTCATCATGTTTCCTTGGCAGACGCTTGAGCAGCACCAGCCGTTGCAGGGGGCATCTAGGGCAGTGTGGTTGCCAAGAATTGTCCCTTGAGGACTAGGAGCTTGGGCCTGGCCTGCAGATGCTGACAGGTGGCTAGCACAGGCTCTCTCCCTCCCTCCCTTTCCCCCTTTCCCCATCCCTATTAGATGTTGACATCTGTGCTACCACTCCTTTTCCGCTTGCAGAACGTGAAATTCATCGCCATCACCAGTTTCCTCTGCCTTCGTTTCTTCTCTCCGGCCATCATGTCCCCCAAATTGTTCCACCTGCAGGAGAAGCACGCAGACGCCCGCACCAGCCGCACCCTCCTGCTCCTGGCCAAGGTAAGAGCCAACCTGGACTTCACCTCCTGGACAAGAAGGGAGAGCATCCTGTCTGTAAATCCAGCCCCAGCATCTGCACACAGAAAATCCTGGCCCTGTGATCAGTGCTGGCTGCCATTTTAATTCCTCACAATGCCCTTGAGGAATTGTGGGAAATGGGAACGGCAGCTCCTGGAGCCAGCCACCATTTTAATTTCACACATGGCTCCCATTTTAATTTCACACAATGCCCCTGGTGTTAGTTTCACACTGGAGAATTGTGGGAAATGGGAACAGCAGCTCCTGGATTCAGCCACCATTTTAATTTTTCACACGGCTGCCATTTTAATTTCCCACAATGCCCCTGGAGTTGGCATCACTCTGGGAAATTCTGGGGAATGGCAGCTCCTAGAGCCAGCCACATGGTGCTAATTGAATGCTACCTCTGCTTCCCACATTAGAATCATAGAATCATAGAGTTGGAATAGACCACAAGGGCCATCGAGTCCAACCCCCTGCCAAGCAGGAAACATTGACTGTGTCCAAGGTCTCCCAGAGAGCTTCATAGAATCTTAGAACTGGAAGAGACCCCAAGGGTCATCTAGTCCAACCCATGCAATGCAGGAATCTCAGCTAAAGTACCTGTCACAGATGGCCATCCAACCTCTTCTTAAAAACCTGCAAGAAAGGAGAGTCCACCACCTCTCGTGAGTCTGTTCCACTGCTGAACAGCTCTTAACTGTCAGAAAGGTTTTTCTGATGTTTAGTTTGAATCTCCTTTCTTGTAACTTTGAAGCCATTGGTTCAGGTCCTACCTTCCGGAGCGGAAGGGAACAAGCTTGCTCCATCTTCCATGTTTACAGCCCTTTAGATATTTGAAGATGGCTATCATAGCACCTCTCAGTCTCCTTTTCCCCCAAGCTAAACATACCCAGCTCCCTTGACGGTTCCTCATAAGGCTTGGATTCCGGGCCCTTGATCATCTTGGTTGCCCTCCTCTGCACACCTCCCAGCTTGTCAACACCCTTCTTAAATGGTGGAGCCCAGAACTAGCTGTGCAGGACCTGAAGCACAGGTCTCCTCCGTCTCTTAGGCCCCAGTGTCCTCTCTGCCGTGCACCACACTTGATTCATGGAGGCCTGTCCTTCACCTGTGGTCACCTCTCTGAATTCTCGCTTGCCAGGCTGTTCAGAACGTGGGGAACATGGACGCCGGTGTCAGCCGCACCAAGGAACCCTGGATGGCTCCACTGCAGCCCACCATCCAACAGGGCGTCGCACAGATGAAGCGGTTCCTCCTCCAATTGATTGACATTGAGGAGAAAGAAGGTTGGTGACTCTGGGCAGCCCCAAGCACTTGGGTCTGGTTCGTTCTGATTGGAGGGAGGGAAGGTGCCTTGCAGGGCTACCAACCAATCATTTTCTTACTGGTGTGACCAATGAACAGCCTTTTATTTGAGGTGGCGGTTGGGGGGTGAGCTGAAAACCAGGAGTCAGGCACCCACACATGTAACCACATTTAAAGCACGCTCCTTCCCACAAAGAATCTTGGGAACTGTAGTTCACCCCTCACAAGGCTGCAGTTCCCAGCAACCCTAAACAAACTACATTGCCCAGAATTCTTTGAGGGGGTGTACACAGGCAAAGCGACTGGGCTGTGAACTATGGCCCTCACCCCTGCCAGATCCTAGGTGGCAAACCATTCTTTCTCTTTCTCAGGGTGGATCTACACACAAGGGAAAAATATGCTATAAATAAGTCAGAAATTAAATCGTTATAAGAAAAGAAAAGAAAAACCCTATGTAAAAACCGCACAGAAAATTTGTTTGCTCTCCATCGCCATCTGGTGTTGTATGTTTATAACACATTCAAAGTGATGTTTTTTGACTAATGTAGCTGAGTCTTCCTCGCTGCAATATGGGGCTAGATAATAATGACCTACCTTACAGAGTAAGCTGTATGTTGACACACTTTGATTGCTAGGTGGGTTTATTTAAAAAATAAAATCTAGTCAGTTTTGTTCTGGTTTTGTACTGTCTTTGCAGAATTGGACCCGCAGAAGTCCCCCTCCCTGCAGACCCAGGTTGTGAAAGAAGGGCCTCTGTTTATCTATAAGGCCAGAAGCAAAGGCCCTCTCCTCTCATCCTCCTTTAAGAAGCTCTACTTCTTCCTAACCAGCGAAGCCCTCACCTGTGCCAAGACACCAAGCTGCAAGGTGAGGAGGCAGCAGGGAGGGCTGCTGCTGCTGTCATGGCCGCCTGGTGGACTTTCCAGAAGGTTCTAGAAAGCCACGGGCACAGAATATTGGATTAGACAGGCTTTCGCCAGATCCAACAGGACTCTTCCGCCTGTGACGTACTTACGGGACTTGTCTTTTCAGAAAAGCTCCTTCATCACACCAGCCAGCATCCGGGCGGCCGAAAAGGTGGAGGAGAAGAGCTTTGGCAACTCTCATGTCATGCAGATCATCTACGCCAACGAGGCCGGACAGACAGACACGGCTTACCTGCAGTGCAAGGTTGCTGTAGTTGGGGATCCAGTTTACGTGGGGAGGGAGAGCTTACAGTGGGTGATGACAGTGGTTCCAGCAGCACCCCTTCTGCAAGCCTGTTGTTTTCTCAAGAGGCTTGGAAGTGGCACCTGGCTTGCTCCTTTTGTCCTGCTGCTTTTTCATTTTAAAAAAAAAACCACACCTTTCTTGGAAACAGGACCTGCAATGCCTGCCTGACCCGAGGGCAGAAAACATGAGCATCTGACACACAATTATACTTGTGGCATTTCAGCATTGTGTGTGGCTGGAGGCCAGCCAGTTGAAATCACACACAAATTAAATGCACGGAAGGTGGAACACTTGAAAACAGGGTTTTCCTGGTGCACAGAAAGAGCTTTTACGCGCTTTGCCTTGCATACTGGGCTCTGGGATGCTCTCGCAAGATGGCTAGATTTTGTGAGAGCTTGGCGACTTGCCTGGTGGGGGTGGGAGCAAGGCCCCCACTTGGCATACTGCTATGGAAAGATGTGTATTTGGGGGGCGATTAGGGGACACGGGTGGCACTGTGGGTTAAACCACAGAACCTAGGACTTGCTGATCAGAAGGTTGGCGGTTCGAATCCCTGCGACGGGGTGTCTCCCGTTGCTCGGTCCCTGCTCCTGCCAACCTAGCAGTTCGAAAGCACACAGTGCAAGTAGATAAATAGGTACCGCTCTGGCGGGAAGGTAAACAGCGTTTCCGTGCGCTGCTCTGGTTCGCCAGAAGCGGCTCAGTCATGCTGGCGACATGACCCGGAAGCTGTACGCTGGCTCTCTCGGCCAATAAAGCGAGATGAGCGCCGCAACCCCAGAGTTGGCCGCGACTGGACCTAATGGTCAGGGGTCCCTTTACCTTTACCTTTGAAGGGAGTGGTTCCAACAAATTTTTGCATTGATGTGCCATCCTCGTGTTGTAAGCTGCCTATCTTCTGTGATGTATGTATGCTGCTTTTTGGGTGGTTTTTGGCTAAGGGGTTAGGCAATTTCAAAAGTATTTAAAGGTTCTTGCTGACTTTTGCTCTAGGTCCTCACCTCCTTGCAAAGGTGGAAGGGGGAGGAATCTGTTGCAACAGGTGGAGGGAATTAAGATCTGCCTTGCTTTCACGGGATGCTGCCTCCATCCATTCTTCTCTGACTGATAATGGAGTTAGGGAGTCCTTTGGGGAGTTTGGGCTGCAAAAGTGAAACCCCCATTTTCCTGTAACATCTGGAATGCAACAAGCAAAACGCAGTTGTACTGTATACTGAAGGGCTGTGCTGGATCAAATGCATGGATGATATAATCCTGCCCTCTCTGTCTTTCGTGGCTTTTCAGTGTGTGAATGAGCTCAACCAGTGGCTGTCGGCCTTGCGGAAGGTTTGTGTGAACAACGCAGGGATGCTGTGCTCCTACCACCCCGGCGTCTTCCGAGGAGACAAATGGAGCTGCTGCCACCAAAAGGACAAAGGCGGTACTGTGCCCTTTATTGGCCCAGTGACATAGAATCATAGAATTGTGAAGGGACCCCAAGGGTCATCTAGTCCAACCCCCTGCAATGCAGGGATCTCAAACCACATCATCCATGACAGGTGGCCATCCAGCCTCTGCTTAAAAACCTCCCGTGAAAGGAGAGTCCACAGTCTCCTGAGGGAGTCTGTTCCGCTGTCGAACAGCTCTTACCATCAGAAAGTTCAGTAGGGTGGCAGTTGCCTTCAACCTTACTTTTAAATAAGAAAATAAAGCCTTTATTTAGCAAAATATAAGCTGTGAAGGAGTGGGCAGAATTACACCAAGTCAACAAAATAAAATAAACAAAATAAAAGTGGGCCTTCTAGATGTTCTTAGACTGCAACTCCCATTAGCTTTGTCTGCTGACTGGGGATGATGGGATTTGGAGTCCAATAACTCTTGAAGGACCACAAATGTTGTTGTTCCATTATATGCCACCTTTTTCTACCAAGGAGCTCAAGGTGGCATCCATGGTTCTCCCCCTCTTCGTTTCAGTCCCTACAACAACCCTGTGAGGTAGGCTAGGCTGAGAGACTGTGACTGGCCCAAGGTCACCCAGTGAGCTTCATGGCTGAGTCGGGATTTGAACCCTGGTCTCTTCCAGGTACTAGTCCAGTACTCTAACCACTGTAGGACACTGACTCTCAGTCACCTCTGGCTTTGCTCTCACAGCAGCTTTCCTTTGACGTGTGTATGCTCCCTCAAAACACATAGCAGGAACAAAAACCCTCCAGCCTTTCATGAAAACTGGGCCTCCTTAAAGAAACCTCACTTTAAAACAACAACACTCCTTTGCCTGCCAGGACTGGGCTGTGACAAAACCCGGCATGGAGTTACGCTGCGGGAATGGAATGACCCCTTGGATCCCGACTTAGAGGCTCAGTTGATTTTCCGACACTTGCTTGGGGTGCGAGAAGCAATGAGGTAAGTTGACTGGCCCTTCCTTCCTTCCTTCCTTCCTTCCTTCCTTCCTTAATTACAAGGTATGCTGAGTGGGTGGCTCTCACTTTTAATCATTTTATGGGTTTTTAAAAATGGTGTACTATATAAATAACCAAGCCATAGAACTCTCTGCTCATTCTGTTGCTGAGGTAGTTCTAAGGTGCACTAACTTTGCCCTTTCATTTCTTACTGTTCAAAGGGAAAAATATTTGGAACTATCAACTCTGGAGAAAAATGAAAATCTTCATTTGACCCAGAATGAAGGTATGACTCGTCTTAAGTGTGGAGAGCGGAGTGGACTGAGGCTGGATTGGTTCATAGAGCCATCAAGTTGGAAGGGATCCCATGGGTTATCTAGTTGAACCCCCTGCGATGCAGGAATCACAGCTGAATAATCTCTGACAGATGGCCATTGAACCTCTTTTAAAATGGAGGTTCCAGTGGAGGAGAGTCCATCGCCTTCCATGGTTGTCCATTCTACTGTCAAGCAGCTCCTACCGTCAGAAAGTTCTCTCTAATGTTTAGTTAGAATCTCATTTCTTATCATTTGAAGCCATTGGTTTCCTCTCCACTGGAGCAGCAGAAAACAAGTTTTCTCCATCTTCCCAGTGACAGCCCTTCAGATATTTGAAGAGGGCTCTCATATCACCTCTCAGTCTTCTCTTCTCCAAGCTAAATGCCCCCCAACTGTTCCCCATAAGGCTTGGTTTCCAGATCCGTCAGGCTTTATCAGTTCACTTTCTCAGGGGGAACAAAATACTTTTCAGGCCAGCTTCTGTAAGGGAGGGAGAGTTGTCAGTTTGGCTGGGATTATAACACTGCAGAGCAGCAGACTAGAAAAGAGATCCCAAGGTATAGGGAAGCTCAGAGGCAAGCAGGCTGAAGAAAGCAGAAATATTCTCTCAGTGTGAAGGCTTGACCCAAAAGTAATGAAGTAGTACGGAAAGCAAGGGGTTCTTTGGTTGAAAAATTTCAATTTAAACATGAGAGCATGTCTAAATTGAAAGATGTTCAATAGAAAAATCAGCAGTGGCAAAGCTTCCATGCTGTATCAGTGGCTTTCAGCCTTGGTTGCCTCTGCTCTTTTTAAAGAATACTGAACACTTTGGGTTGAATCCTGAAACATGGATGGCTCTCTCCAGCTTATTATTATTATTATTATTATTATTATTATTGTTGTTGTTGTTGTTGTTGTTGTTGTTGTTGTTGTTGTTGTTAAAAGGTACTTCTTGCAGCATGACTAAGGAAAGGGAGATTCCTGCATCCTTATCTTGACAAACTATTTTATGTGATTACCTAACAACCCTTCCCCTTAGAAGATCCGTCACAACAACTAATTGGCAAATGGGACTAAAAATGAACGGTGTGGAAATAATACGAATTTAAAGGTTTTACTCTGTGAAGGATCTGGAAAGAAGAAAGGTTCTCTTTGTGACGCAGCAAGAATTGAGATTTGATACGGAAGGACAGACCTTTGTTGCAGGGAGTTTGGTCTTGGGGAGGGCGAGCCAAAGATTTGTAATCTGGATGGGATTGTGAACTGGAAGGGGCGGCCCTCCTGGAAAAGACGAATTTACGATGCAACAGGTCGGGAAAGTTAACGAGCGGGCTTTTAGACTGTATTTCATCGGAACGGCAAGATGGCGATTGCTTGCTCGAGCGGAAACGCCTGGACTATTGGATGAGAGTAATTTACGAGAGAGCAATACAAAGTCCACACAGAAATACAAATAAGACTGTTTTTTTTAACCCACTTGCCGAGCAACTCAGAGGTGAATGAAAAGGAAAATGAGTAACGACAAGGATTGAGAAGAGGGGACTGAAAATATCATTGTAAATATGAAAGCAGCAGAAATATTGGAAGATTGGGCTCCTGCCGATCAAGAAGCATGGGTACCCCCCACAAAAATTTATAATTCGGAAAACAATTGGATTATATGATGTGTATTGTTATAATTTGGATTAATTGGTTTGATGTGTTTAATTTGGTAATATGGAAACTTAATAAAAATTATTTTTTTAAAAAAAGATATATTGACAAACTACTGTGAATGAACTACCTGCACATAATTCTGTTCTCTCTCTCTCTCTCCTGCTACAGACCCTGAAAATGCCGATGGACCTAGCCGGCTTTTCCAGGTGTTGCAAGATCTTGAAGAAATTCACAGTAAGGAGCTTTCCCGGTTGAGTGACTTGGCCAACCAGGACCGAAATCATCTTGTGGAACTGCAGACGTGACTGTTCGCACAGGCTAGGCCCACGTCTGCCTCCTTTGGGCAGTTCTGCTGCCAAACATCTGGAATAGAGGGTGTTTCTCCTCTTTCTGTCTCTCTTTCTCTCTCTCTCTCTCTCTCTCTGGACTTGTGATCATCTGATGAGATGGAAATGGGATAGAGTGGGGCCCTGATTCTCGTAACCTGCATCACCTTTCCTTTTGGGAACGACTCTCCCTGCCAAGTCCTCTGAACTCTGAAGACAAAACTGAGATCAATTTAGGAGACCCAACACAAAAGCATTCATCTTCACCAGTCTAAAAAACAGCAACTATAGGGTTGCCATATTTCAAAAATTTTGGAGCTTTTTTAAAGGAAAACCCGCAAGGTTGTTTTTTTTATGCCCTAAACAACTACTGTAGAAGTTCAGCCCCTAGCCTTAATGGAACACCAAAGCTGGTTGTTTTATTGCCTGCGATTTTCATCCAGAACTTTGCATTCTTGAGAACTGCAGATTTAACTGTTTGAAAATAATAAGAAAAAGTAGGTTTCTAGATCTCGTGACAGAGGTGATTTGAAAATACGTACCAGCGGTCTACTGTGTTTGAGGGTGAAGCAGTGAGTGGCCAGAAGCGAGGCCTTGGCGTTGTAGTGGATAGCTCAGTCAAGATGTTAGCCTAGTATGTTACCAGTGTGAAAAAGGTAAATTCCATGCTAGGAAAGAAATTGAAAACAGAACTGCCAGTTATCCTGTTGCTGTTAAACAAATCTATGGTGCGGCCACATTTTGAGTGCTGTGTCGCCTCACCTAAAAAGGATATTGTAGAGTCGGAAAAGGTTCAGGAAAGGGACATGATCAAGGGGATTCCCTTTTTCGTTTCGAGAAAAGGCGAGCCAGAAGATGGTCGCTTGATGGAAGTATATAAAATTCTGCATGTCATGCAGAAATGGATAGAGAAGTTTTTCTCCCTCTCTCTCATTAGGCTAGAACTTGTAGACATTCTGTGAAGCTTTATGTTGGAAGGTTCAGGATAAAATAAAGGACTTCATGTAGCGCATAACTCAATCCCTCCCACAGGAGGCAGTGATGGCCACCAACTTGGATGGTTTCAAAAGAGGTTTAGACAAATTCAGGGAGGAGAGGACTATCATTGCCTACTAGCCATGATGGTGGTTTATCAGCCTGCACTGACCGAGGCAGCAGTTTTTTCTGGAGACCAGTTGCTGGAAGCCACAGGAAGGGCGAGAGCTCTTGCGTTCGGATCCTGCTTCTGAGTTTCCCACAGGGATCTAGTTGGTTGCTGTGAGAACAGGACGCTGGGCTGTTCCAACAGGCTGTTCTTATGTTGCTCTTTATTTCTTCCTTTTGTGGCCTTTCCACATGTACCCCTAGGCAGCTAGCAGTCTGAATACTGGGGAATGGGAGAGTCCACCCTCTCAACTCCATGTGAGTTCTTGCTGATATGATGAGCAATGGTTCTCCCAGAAAGGCCACATTATCTGGAAAAAAGGGGTCCCTAGCTGGGATTAAAGCCGGCCCTACCGTTGTCCAGGCTACTGCAGATAACAGATTGGAATTAAAAGACAGAGCTGTTGAGAAAGAGAGAGAACTGCAGCCTTGGCTTACAAGCTTAGATGGCTTTGAAAGAGGCTTTGAGAAGTCCATGGAGGAGAGGTCTACTAGCCATGCTTAAAAGCAGTGTACCTCCCAATGCCAGATGTTGGTGACCTTGGACCATGGAAGAGAGTTGTTGGCCTCATGTCCTGTTTGTGGACTTCCTTGTTGGCCACTCTAGGGAAATAGGGTGCTGGATCTGGTCTGATCTAGCAGGACTTTCATGACTTGATTTGTAGTCTATGGTTACTATAATTGGGCAGAGGTGGAAACGGTGCCATTTGAGTCTTCTGCCTCAACCCTGCAAATACCTCTGAGCTAGACCAGGTGGGATATATATATTTCCAAGCTCAGCAGTAGCTCTAGGCACGGGAGGAATTTTAAAATTTGCATGCAATAAAACAAATGAGTATATGCCATTGCATGGGGGAAAATAGTTGAATGGAGGGTGTTGTTGGACTCCAACTCCCATCATCCTTGACCATCATCTGGGCCTAATGGGAGCTGGAGTCTAACTACATCCAGAGGGCCACTTATTCTCTATCCCTGGAATGGCTGTTTGATCTGTCTGGACAGCTGCACCTCCAAGCCAGCAGTCACACGTGATGTAGAATAAAGTCTCTTTTATCACACCCTCCCATCTTGTTTGCGACTATCTGGCTAGCTACAACATGGTTAGCCCTTTGTTGCTTTTCAGCATCAACGCTCGCCTTTTGGAACTTACGGGGTAACAAGAGTGCTTCTGATCATATATGGATTTTACCTTACTGCTAACTAGTGAGTAGCCACAGGAAAAGCGGCGACCACCAGGGATGGAAAAGAAGGAGCTTCCTGAAACATTTAGTGGGGGCCATTGCAGCAATGCAAAAGGTAGCAGCACCTGGAATGATTTTTATTCCTTCTCCAGGAGGCCTGAAAGGGGCTTTTGCTGGGTTTAGGGTTGTGTTTCTTCACAGCGGTTTATTTTGGACTCGTACAGCATCCATCAGACTTTGTCCCCACACCATGCTGTATCATCTCCCTCCTCCGCCCAGTTTAATCCGGATTTAGTGTTTCCATGGAAAATCCGATAAATTTAAACACACACACACACAGAGAGAGATTAAAAGATACCATTAATAATAAGCTGTCACATGGAGGCGCATACACACACACACACACACACACACACACACACACAGCAGGCCCTTGGAAGAGGCTGTGATTTCCAAGTTGGCTCCAAGGTCCACCAGCACTTCCATATTTAGGAGTTTAGGCCTTGCCCACTCTCTCGTTTACCATTTCCCATCCTGGTTTTTTAATCTGCATTCATGCGACACTGGCCAGAAGGCATATGCATCCTGTACTTTGTTATGAAATATAAAGTACGGCCGTCTGATCTGTTGCTCCAACCATCTTGAGAGTCCTTCAGCCATTTCTAACTGTGCTTGATTATCCATTTATTTCTCTTCTCTTCGTCAGAAGAGGCCATGTGGTGGTTTTGCAACATGCAGCACAGCAGAAATGTTGCAGCATAAAAATCAAAACAATTCTATAAAGGCAACAAGGGTCATCTAGTCCAACCCCCTGCAATGCAGGAACCGCAGCTAAAGAATCCCTGACAGAAGGCCACCCAACCTCTCGTTAAACACAACAAAGGAGAGTCTACCACTTTGAGGTTTTCTGTTCCACAGATGAACAGCTCTTGGTGTCAGAATATTCCTCCTAATGTTTAGTTGGAATCTTATTTCTCAACATTTGAATCTGTTGGTTTGGGTGCGTACCAGACAAGCAAATCTGGCACCAGTGAAGCTGTGCTGATGTGAACAACTGGGGGGTGAGGGGAGCTGTGAAGCACACCGGGCAGTGGAGTGGTGGGGGGACAACTTCCCTATTCCCTAAGGTGGACACACCTTTCAGCTACGCTTGGATTCAGGGTAGGTTGGTAAAGACTACTTGACAGAAAACGGTCCTCTGTTTGAAGGACTGTATGGTCCAAACGCTGGTTTAAAGACAAAGATCAGTTGTGAGAAATGCCTGGGTAGCTCAGCTGGTTAGAGCGTGGTAGTGATAATGCCAAGGTGGCAGGTTTGATCCCTGTATGGGACGGCTGCATATTCCTGCATTGCAGGGGGATTGAACTAGATGATCCTCAGTGAACCTTCCAACTCTACAATTGTATGGCGCTGTGGGTAAAACCTCAGTGTCTGCGGACAGGCTCCCGGCCTCTAGAGATGAGCGCACAACCCTAGAGTCTGTCAAGACTGGCCCGTACGGGCAGGGGTACCTTTACCTTTTATGATTCATAAGACGCGGGACATGGGACGCGGGTGGCGCTGTGGGTAAAAGCCTCAGCACCTAGGGCTTGCCGATCGAAAGGTCACGGTTCGAATCCCCGCGGCGGGGTGCGCTCCCGTTGCTCGGTCCCAGCGCCTGCCAACCTAGCAGTTCAAAAGCACCCCCGGGTGCAAGTAGATAAATAAGAGACCGCTTACTGGCGGGAAGGTAAACAGCATTTCCGTGTACTGCGCTGGCTCACCAGATGCAGCTTGTCACGCTGGCCACGTGACCCGGAAGTGTCTCCGGACAGCGCTGGCCCCCGGCCTCTTAAGTGAGATGGGCGCACAACCCTAGAGTCTGTCAAGACTGGCCCGTACGGGCAGGGGTACCTTTACCTTTACCTTATGATTCATAAGAAGGGAGAGCAGGAGAGCCTTGGAGCTGCGCATCAACAGTGAGGACCAGGCCAGCAGGCAAACGGCTCACCTGCTCCAAAGTGAATGTAAGGTAAAGGGACCCCTGACCATTAGGTCCAGTTGTGGTCGACTGGGGTTGCGGTGCTCATCTCACTTTATTGGCCGAGGGAGCCGGCATACAGCTTCTGGGTCATGTGGCCAGCATGACTGAGCCGCTTCTGGTGAACCAGAGCAGCGCATGGAAACGCCGTTTACCTTCCCGCCGGAGCGGTACCTATTTATCTACTTGCACTTTGACGTGCTTTCGAACTGCTAGGTTGGCAGGAGCAGGGACCGAGCAACGGAAGCACAGCCCGTCACGGGGATTCAAACTGCTGACCTTCTGATCGGCAAGTCCTAGGCTCTGTGGTTTAACCCACAGCGCCACCTGCGTCCCTTGAAAAGTGAAAGTACTTACGTATGTATTATTTTGCATAGGGCTTCAATTTCCATCCCCACCCCTTGATGTCGAAAGCAGCTAGCAAAATTGAAACTCACATAACATATGAAGGGGTAGTCTTTAAAAAAAGGACAAAAATAAATAGCAGCCAGCTGAAAGCTTTTTTAAAAAAGGGCTGCTGCCTTCAACAAACGATTCATCTGGTTTTTGAAGCCTCCCACATTTAACTTTCCCATTTAAATCGAGGGGGAGAGCGCGCGCGTGTGTGGCGGGAGCTTGCGTTTCCGCCTCTGTCCACAAGGGGGAGGTAAAGACATCTTGGGAAAGGGGATAATAAGCCCGGCAAGTTGCGATTCCTCCCCCTGGCCGCCAGAGGGAGGAGCTATAGGTACGAAAGCGATCGCTCTTCACACGGAACGGAATGGGGAGCGTGTGAAAATCACCCGGAAGCGGAACTCCAACCCGGAAGTGGTTTTCCCCGTTGCGCCGGGAGCCGAAACAAACGAGCGGGGAGCGATGAACGCGCCTCCGGCCTTCGAGTCCTTCCTGCTTTTCGAAGGAGAGAAGAAGTGAGTGAGGGGAGGGAAGCTACAATGGCCTGGGCGGCGGGGAGGCCTGTGCCCATCTTGGGGTCGGGGGTGGAAATGAAGGGGGACCACATATCAGCGGTAGAGCATAGGTTGGGGGGCGGGCCTGGGCGGCACTTGCTGGGCGCCATGGGGTGGACCAGAATCCCGCTTCGTTAAGTTTCTATCTTGTGTGGAAGCCGAGATTATTTATCTGTTTTTGCAGTTTTGTTGTTTAGTCGTGTCCAACTCTTCGTGACCCCATGGACCAGAGCACGCCAGGCACTCCTGTCTTCCACTGCCTCCCGCAGTTTGGTCAAACTCATGCTGGTAGCTTCGAGAACACTGTCCAACCATCGTCCTCTGTCGTCCCCTTCTCCTTGTGCCCTCCATCTTTACCAGCATCAGGGTCTTTTCCAGGGGGTCTTCTCTTCTCATGAGGTGGCCAAAGTATAGGAGTCTCAGCTTCACGATCTGTCCTTCCAGTGAGCACTCAGGGCTGATTTCCTTCAGAATGAAGAGGTTTGATCTTCTTGCAGTCCATGGGACTCAAGAGTCTTCTCCAGCACCATAATTCAAAAGCATCAATTCTTTGGCGATCAGCCTTCTTTATGGTCCAGCTCTCACTTCCATACATCACTACTGGGAAAACCATAGCTTTAACTATACAGACCTTTGTTGGCAAGGTGATGTCTCTGCTGTCATATTTCACTTTTTCTTCCAAGGAGCTCAAGGTGGCATACATAGTTCCCACCCTCCTTTCCCATTTAATCCCCACAACAACCCTGGGAGGTAGGTTAGGCTGAGAGGCCGTGACCTTCCCAAGAGTCAACCAGTGAGCTTCAGGACTTGCACAGTTAAGGGGCCTGATGAAGTTGGGCTTTCGGCAAAGCTGATGCAACGAGCCTTGCCTCCTATCAAGGAAAATCTTGTATTAGCTGGCATTGAAATTAGCCTTGCATTTTCAAAACAGTTTTTAAAAGTCTCTTCCCTGCTCCACCTTTTTCTTCCAGGATTACAATAAATAAGGATACCAAAGTGCCGAATGCCTGCCTGTTTACCATCAACAAGGAAGATCACACTCTGGGGAATATCATTAAATCGTGAGTAACAATGGCTCTTGTTTTACAGCAAGGTTCGGGTGGGGTTGTTTGAAAGCAGCACCTGTCTCAAACTAGGATGATAGTCAAGGACAGGTATAGGTAAACTCTGGCCCTCCAGGTGTTTGGGACTACAATTCCCATCATCCCTAGCTAACAGGACCAGCTGGAGGGCCAGAGTTTGCCTATGCCTGGTCAAGAAGATGATGAGGTTGTTGCTTTTCCATACACCTGGTAGGCTCTGGGTGATCTTCCCCAGATTACTTATGGGAGCCATTGGCATGTACAGTGGTACCTCAGGTTAAGTACTTAATTCATTCTGGAGGTCCGGCCTTAACCTGAAACTGTTCTTAACCTGAAGCACCACTTTAGCTAATGGGGCCTCCTGCTGCTGCTGCACTGCTGGAGCCCGATTTCATCCTGAAGCAAAGTTCTTAGCCTGAAGCACTATTTCTGGGTTAGAGGAGTCTGTAACCTGAAGCATATGTAACCTGAGGTACCACTGTAAATTGATACAAATATGCCTATGAAAAAGGGAGTTTGTTGGACACTGTCAAGCGTTTTTGACTGGCTAAATTACTGAAAGCAAGGATGTTACATAGGCTGCTGGGAAAGTAAAATGTGGCATGTTCATTAGAGGTTTTAGTAGTAATGTTCTGCCACTTTCTTCCAGCCCCAAGGAAAGAAGTCAAACTCCTTCTGGAGACCTCAGTTCCTTGGATCTTATGCCCAAAGTAGAGAATAGCATCAGATATAGTGAACCTGTGGCCTTTAAATGTTGTTGGATTGCAGCTCCCATCATCATGGACCCTTGACTATGCTGGCTAGGGCTGATGGGAATTGACGTCTGGAGAGCCATCCCTGCAGTAGACTCTGCTTCTAATTGGCATTTAAGATCATAAGATCTTGGCATTTAAAATTATTTAAAAGCCTGCTTAAGCCAATCTAGTTTAAGATCCTGTTGAACCTCCCAGGTTCATTCCACAAACAGGGGACCATTGCAGAAAAGGCCCAATTACAGTGGTACCTCGGGTTAAGAACTTAATTCGTTCTGGAGGTCCGTTGTTAACCTGAAACTGTTCTTAACCTGAGGTACCACTTTAGCTAATGGGGCCTGCCACTGCACGATTTCTGTTCTCATCCTGAAGCAAAGTTCTTAACCCAAGGTACCACTGTATCCACTGAGGCCCTTCTTCATGTGCCCCTTCACAAGAGGTCTGGAGAGTAGCAACATGAGAATGTTTGGCCAATATCCAATGCCCTTTTAAATGTGTTGTGGGAGGGGGGATTATTATTTTGTTTTTGTTCATATTTTTATTATGTATTTTGTGTTTTTTTACATTGTAATTTAATGCTGTGAACCTCTCTGAGATCTACTGATGAAGAGTGGTGTACAAATTTAATAAAAAACAGTAATAATAAAATAGTGCTGCCAGTATAGAGAAGTCTGCTATGTGTTTTGCACAGCAGTCACCAGATATTTCAAGATAGCTTTCACATCTCCACTTGATCTTTCCTTCCACAGGCTACACGTTCTCATCTTTTAACCATGCTTTATAGGCCTTCTCGGGCTCCATCAGCCTACACCTTTGGGGAAGCTCATCTGAGCTGGACGCGGTATGGAGTCTTGCTCAGCTTTAAAGCTGGGTGATGTATCTCAGTTGCTTCTTCCTCCCCTTAGGTGAGGAGGAGCAACAGCCAAGATGCATTTCAGACATTGTGATATATCAGTCTATTGCAGCATTTAGCTGCTGGTATTTCATGAAGTTGAAAACCAGTCATCACCCAGCCCCCGTTTCCAGATTTTCACCATCTTAGTTGCCCTCCTCTGGCCCAAGGTCCTTGGTCTGATCTAGCAAGGCAAACCACACTTTTCACAGTATACTTTATGTGTGTCCCTTTTCTTCCTCCCCTCCCCAGGCAGTTATTGAAAGACCCTCAGGTGCTGTTTGCAGGGTACAAGGTCCCTCATCCCCTGGAGCATAAGATCATCATTCGTGTCCAGACCACCCCTGATTACAGTCCCCAAGAAGCCTTCACCAACGCCATCACAGATCTCATCAGCGAGCTCTCCCTCCTTGAGGAGAGGTTCCGGGTAAGTTGGCGCATTTAATGTTGCCTTGGCATTACTTCTATGGAATGACCTCTCAGTGGGAGATGTCTCCTCTGTGTCTCAAGATATATAGCTGTGAACCGGGTAAGAAGCTGTGCTTGGTTGGCAAATTGCTTGGCATGCCGCCAGATGGGTTAATCCACCATCACCCAGGTGAAGCAGGGGCATTATCTGTCCTTTCAGACCCCAAGGATGGGAGATGTTTTGAGAGCCATCCAGGGTGGACTGACCCAGGGGTTCAAACACTGTTTAAAGGCAAAAATGAGCCATTTTCTCTTGATAGGGAGACACATTCAACTAGGGGTAGCTCCCCCTATAAAGAGTTGTCTTGTGGGTCTTGTGTCTCCCTAGTAAGACCTCTGCTGATTCCTCACTTTTCAACATGGGGCAGGCGCGTGGCACTTGAAGCACCAATGAGATATTGGGAGACTCGGGACCATTTCCTTAGGGCTCCTTTCTTTCAAAAGTGCTGACACTTTATCCTCCTTCCTTTCTTAAATTCAATACACTTTTCACAGAGCTCCCCCGACCCCAATTATTTCTGTCCTCATCCCTGCTACATGTTTGAACGGGTGTGGCCCAAAATGGAACCCACCAATTCAGAAAAAAGAAATCTGCAGGGATGAGCTAGTCCCTGGGCAGCAGTAGCATTCATAGTGAGTTGGAGAGAATTTCATCTGATTCAGTTTGCCATGGAGGGTGAGAGAACCACCTCTGCAACACAAATGTTTGGGGCCCTGTGTGGTTCTGCTGTTTTCCTTTGGTAATTCTGCTGTGGCTAAGGATGGGATACAACCCACCTGAAGTCCAAACTCTTTTGTCTTCTGTAGTAAGTACAGGTGATTAACTGCAGAAAAGGAAGGTCTCTTAAACTGGCTTTATGTAACCCCTACTTTCTGTTTGAGCCTGAATTGAAATTGTTTTCCCCCTTTTGTTCCTGCTCTACCACAAGATAGTTGATTTCTGTGAGAAACTGGATCAAACGTCACTAAGAGACTTCTTGTCTGCCTCTCTTTTCAGGTTGCCATCAAAGACAAACAAGAAGGAATTGAATAAGTACATGACATTTTTGCCTACCTGTTGTAAATGCATAATTTAGTTTTTCCTTATATAGCAGGCTAATAGCAAGTGTTTAATAATGCCTTTACATTGCTTTGCATCCTCCAAGAAATGTGTGTATATGTGTAGTTGGACATGAGATCCCATTGATTTTTTTTTTTTTTAGCTAATAAATTATACTTAAGTTTTTCATCCAAGTTGCTTTGTTTGAAAAGATTGGTAAAGACCTCAAGGACACAAAGCTAATATCTTTTGTGTGCCATGTTTCAAGAGTGTGAGGGGAAAGGGTTCTGGTCTAAGGCTAAGGATCTGAACCCTACCTGCAAAGAGACTACTGGCAGGCGAGAAGTACAAAATTTCGTTAAATTCTAAATAATCCTAGCCATTACTTAAAATGCTCCATCTACTCAAACATATTTAACATTTCTCCAATTTTGAGGGTGTTTGTGTCGTTTTTAATTGATATATGCAGGTTGTTAATGCTCAGCAAAGTGGTCCCTGTCAACTCTCCTGCCTGCCATAATTAAAAAAAAAACTTCAGTTAGCTTTTATCAAGTTTTATTAAATACTGTCTTTCTATAAAACAAATACACTTTAAAACACCAATAAAAGTAAAAGTCACAGTTAAAAGATTTGGGTATTGGCCAGCACAGGCTTCCAGCCAACCCTTCAGTTGATTTTCCTTGAATTAATTCACATGAAGTTTAAATCCCCCCCACCCCAATCTTGGTTATTTCCAGAACGGTCACAAATACTGCACTACTGAAATGTGGGCGAAAAATGTGGCTCCTCTTGTGGGGCCACGCCAGAACAGCTAGGCTTTCTTCCATATTGCGGCAATGTTTACATCGGTGAGAGCAACCAGGTAAGTGAAGGTGGGGTCTGTGACTACATTGTTCACCAGGACATCTGTCAGCAGCTCACCATTTGCTTTCAATTCTGGCCACTTCAGGACCTAAGCAGAAAAGATTGAGAGGGAAGAGCTTACTGTCTCATTTTATATACAATTCAACCTTGTTGCAGTACACATTCTTCTAGAATGCAGTATAAAAACATTTTTATTAAATATTCCAAACCATTTTTCATCCTATACAAAATTCTAGAGTTAAGAAAACTTTCAAAGGTGATTTACTGTATCTTTTAAAATGCCTTTAACCTCTAAATAGCCAGTAACATATTTGAAATCAAATATACATTTGTACCTGTTGTCCCATAATTGAACACAGGACACAAACTCCAGAAAGATAAATTGCCCCTGTACCTGCGAAGGCCCTATTCTCTTAACTGACGACTCTTCCTTTGTGGCACTCAGAGTGGACAAGTGGTTGCTGAGGTCATACATCCAGACACTTCCTTTCTCATCACCACAGAACACGTACTCTTCTGCTGCAGGAGCAAAAGGGTCCAAATCAAATCAATCTTACGGTTTCAGTCAGAAGGATATAATTCAAAGATGCTTGAGTGCACCTGTAAGGTGGAGAAGTCAAAGCAGGCCAGGCCAGATCTTGCCCAGCTCTGTCCCACTGGATACCCATTGCAGCACAAACTCAGACTAGAGGGTTGGGGAGGGAGGTTGCTGTGGTTTGCCAGTTTGTTCTCCCTGACTGGGAACTAGGGGAAGAATTATAAGGCCTGCATCTAACACTGAGTCTTAAGAGAGATTAAAGATGCTCTTTGTGTACTGCCCACCCAGCTGCCCAACACTCTCTCTGTCTAATGTATTTTTGACTGTGGTGTTAAAGGGATCCCAGATGATAATTATAGGAGACTTCAAGATTGCTGCTGTAGGACCAGCTCAGGATTTCCTGGCTTCTACAACCACCACAGGGCTGTCTCAGGTTGTCACCAGCCCAATGCACAGAGCAGGACACACCCTTGACTTGGCCTTTGCTCCAAGCATGGAAAAAGGTGATCAGGGAGTTGTGGGGGGCATTCCTCTATTATTCTGCTGTCATAGTCAGACCACTTCCTGGCAAAGTTTGGATTCACAGCCCCTGCTCAGCATTGCTATCAATGCCCACTTTCAACTGGGCACTAGTGATGCTGCAGCTACACAGCCTCCCTCCAGGTGGGCTTATCTGGTGCTGTCATGCTTTTTGAGATGGAAGCCAGGTGGCCAGCATGTCACACTTCATGAACTACAATGCCTGAGAGACATGAGAGGGCAGAGCCTGCCACCCAGCACCTCTAGATGCTCAGAGCTGCCAGGGACCTAAGTGGCAGAAGGCACCAGCAGCGCTGGTGAAAAGGGCAGGGCCAGCAGTATGGGAAACACTTACTCGGACATGTGCTGAGGGTGAGGTAAGGCAGATCTGTTGAGGACCACTCCAGTTCGGCCAGGATGACGGCTTGCACTGTTCTGCGACCCCCCTTCCCTTGCTTGAAAGAGCGGCTCCAGCTCCAGAGATTTATGGACCCTGTCTTAGAACTCTTGGTAACTGCAGAGGAGAGAAAAGAAACAGGCCTTGCTGGGTAGTGTGCCTGCTACCAGAACACTGCATCTTCCTATGAAATTAGCTTTTATCAGTTAAGATACTAATTTTCAGTGGGAGAGCACTTGCTCTGTATGCAGAAGGCATCTCTTCCCTAAGTAGGGCTGGGAGAGACTCCCATGAAATCCTGGAGAGCTGCTACTGCCAGTTACTGTAGATGGATCAGTGGTCCGACTCAGTTCAAGGCAGCTTCCTATGTTTCTATGGCCTGACCAAAGGTGATGGTTAATAATGACAAAATTTACTTTCTGGTAATGTGCTAAAGAAAGCCAAATGAAGTCCCAACCTTAAAATGAAGCTGAGGGACCCAATACTGCACCTGATTCAATCATACATTTTTTCTCACAGTAACTTGCAGTGCAGTTGCATACCAACATCTCTACCCAAAAGTAGGTTCCACAGAATTAAATAGGACTTATTCCACCTACGTGTGCACATTTAGGGCTGGTTTCATATGACTTAAGAGAGGAGCTTGCCATACACGGAGTGCAGAATACTTGCTGTTCTATAAGAATCACCAAGGAGGGGGAGCTATGTGGAAGTCTTGGGGCCTTTCAATAAAGATAACAGGTTCACAAAGCATAAACCCTGAAATGAGGAACGAAAGAGGTTTCCCATTCTCTGTAGAGAAGTCTTCAAAGTGCAACATTCTCTTTATCTCTTATGACTTGGCAGGCATGGAAATGGGAGGGAGTCAATGCTGTACCCTGGTACTGAAGGTCATCAGCTTTGACCAAATAGTTTGTAAACTTTTCTAACCCATCTTCTCTGGCATTTAGTCTGCTTTTATCTCTTTCTTTAAAAGTGTGCATTAGCCCAGAGGGATTTTTGAGTCTACTTACTGCCAATTTGTCTAGAAAATGTTTCTTCTTTTTTTAAAAAAAAAATCCATTTTATTTAAGAAAGATGTTTCTAAGTGCAAAAGAAGAAAACAAGCTGGAGAAGTACGCCAAAGGCTTGTATCTTGTGTAACTAAAACATCTCAACAAACATTGTCCCACTTCACACAACACTATGCAAGACCCTGCCTAAGTGTGAACGAGGGAGTGTGCGAGTAGATGGAGAAATTTAAGAGCAGTTTCTAGACTGAAGGTATTTCTTCCAGACACCCAGAAGAAAAGGATGCAGGCTTCAAGTGAAAAGATGGGCCTTTATTGAAATATAAATGTGCATAGGGGCAACCTCCAAAATAAAGAGGCTGCGAAGAATCACATCCACAGCAATCTTTCATATACACTTCCAGGTTACACAAATGATTTTAGTTCACCAATCAAAGGATCACAGCAATCTTAGCAGTTGCAACCCAATGTTATCATCACTCAAAATCACTTAACTCTTCAGATCAGCTCTCATCATCATACCAAGTGATTACATGTGATCATTTTAAAATGTCTTTTATAATTAAGACTTTCACTATTTTTTCTATGCATTACATGCCTCCCAATATCCTTTATCATCTTTCTACAAAACAATTCAAGATTGATGGCCACCACAGATTTTAACAGCTTATTCTTTTCAGTGTTCCGGAATGGACATTCACTGCATACAGTACCTGAAAGCAACTAGTTCTGTATGGAATCATCAAAATGATAAGAGTCCTTTGAAAGTATTATGTTCTCCATCATAATCAAAAGAAAAATTGCAGCTGCCTTGCTGGCCTTGCTGCTGCTGCAACTATCCAAAACTAAGCCACAGTTTGACTTATTGTTACATGGTTTGCTTCCTCCAGGCAAACAAAAATAGTGAGCCAAGAACAAACCTTGGCTACAGTTCAAAGTTTGTATGGACAGAGACAAACGACAACTCTGGGTTCGAACAGGTGGCTTAGTTCAAGGTTGTGCAGTAGCTGGCAAAGCAGCCACAATTTTTCCTCTTGAGTACCCACACACTTGCTCATTCACACATAACCAGGTTTGGCTCAGTGTTACATGTGAACCAGGCCACTGAAACAATGTCATCTTACGCATGCAGTTGCAGGGTGCTAACCTATCCGAATGCAAATTTCTTACCCACAATGTCTTCATTCAAAAAGGCCAGACCATCCACTCGATGGGAAGCTGTTTCATTCCCCTCATCATCTGGGAACTGGAATTCTACTTCATAAGGTCTGGAACATTGGGAAGAACAAGATCACATTTTTTAAAAAAGTATTGTGCAACACTATTGTGCAAGCACCATAACTGTACAATTAAAGAGTAACTCATGTCTTCGGTTTTCAGCGATTTTTAATGCATAAATAAAAGTAAGTTTGTGGTTCGCATAGCAGAGGAGCAAGTTTTGAAAAACCATAGCAATTATATTGCAAGCATCTATGGGGGTGTGACCTCAGAATGCCAGAACATGTGCTTTGCATGCAGAACAACCCAGATTCCATACATGGTATTGCTATTTTAAAGGATGAGGTAGGTAGGCAGATGATGGGAAAGCCATCTGCCTTAGACCCTGGAAAGTACGACCTGTCAGAATAGCCCAGTCCTAAAGCAAGGTGGACAAACAGGCATCTCTCTATGTTTTGATGAACTTACGGTCTCCAGATGGATTTAATACTAGGAGACCTTGGTTCAAAATCCCTCATCATCCATAAATCTGTGCTCAACGTAATGACAGGGCAGAGAAAAAGGTGTGAATCGTCAGAAGTTATAGAGGAAATCAAGAATTATTTACAGTACTTTCTCCGGTTTCTGAGAAGAAACAAATTGGAAATC